CCGTGCGGCTGAGGCGGGGAAAAGGGCCCGTGTCCCGGTGGGGCCTGTGCAGCAGCGCCAGGCGGGCGGCAGGGCCGCTGGAGCGGCGCTGCGGGCGGCCGGGCCGCGCTCTGTGGAGCCGGGCGGTCGGCCTGGAGCTCCGCAGGGCGCCAGGACCCACAGCGTGGGGCCGCTGGCGCGCGCCCTGTCCACGGCCCCGCCGCTCGCCGCGTTCTGCAGCGCCCACTTCCAGGTAGCGATCCCAGGCAGGTGCTTCGGCTCTGTGTGTGACTCCGGGTGTTCCCCGCGTCCGGACCCGCGCTAGGGCTCCCGGAGCGCCCCGGCGCAGGTGAGCGCGGCGCTGTGGTCCAGGCGGCRCCTCTCTGTGAACTCGTGTCCCGTGCGGCGCTCGCGGCCCGGCTGTCACAGGTAAGCGGCCGCTCTGAGCACAGCCGGCGCCCTTGGCCGCGACGTCCTTCCCTGCGTTGGGAGCCGTGCGGCCCAGGGAGGCTCCGGCTCAGAGTCCTGCTCTGCTCCTCGGCGTCTCGACAGGGAACTGCGTGAGCCTCCTGCCACGGGCCTCCGCGTCTTCCTTTGTGTTTCCCAAAATTCTGACTTTTGGAGGAGCAGAGCTAGAGCCTTGATCTCCCTGAGTCTGCTGTCTGGCTGCTGCCCTATTTTATTTTCTGCTCATTTTAAAACGCAACGTGAGGGCACTTGAAATGTCAGGGCGCGTGAGCGGTCGGGCTGCGGAGCCGCGCGGCTCTTGCCCAGCCCTGGCAGGCCCCATCCGGGGACAGTGACGATTTGCCAAGTCCTGCGGGGTCTGCGCCGCGCCCTGGGGTCTTGGCGGCCGCAGGAGGGAAGGGGCAGGGGGGTGTCTGTGTCACAGGGCAGCCCTTGGCTGCGCTGCGGGGTCGCGAGCGGCGCCCTGGGTGCTGGCCATGTCCCTTGGACGTGTCTTCGGCAGCAGCGGTCTTGGCACGTGGGGAGCAGCTGCCGGTGCTGTTGGTAGAGCAGGCGTTTGTGAGAGCGGTTACTTGTTTCCCGTGGGATACTTCTGAACTGTGTTTAATATCTGCGGGCTTCGCTGTGTGGCCCCTTGGCACTGGGGCCAGCCTGAATTGGGCTCTGTCATCTTCCTTGAACACCCTTCTGCTGAACACAGCTCTGTCTGCTGTGGTAGTGGTTGATGCCGTTAGGGCTCTGCTTTTCCTGGTCTCGATGAAATGCAGGAAGCTCCCATTTTTGGGATGTTTTTCTCTGGTATTGGTACCTTTTCTGTGATGTGCGCGGATGAGGCTGCGGAGCAGGAAGGGCTGACGCTCAGCACAGAGGGTCCTTGTGTCCCTCCCGTCTGTGCCAGTGCTGCTTCCTCCCCGGCCTGCCCCGACCCTCTGGAATGCCGGGCCTCCGTACCTGCCTTGCACAGGAATACGGCGCGCGGGTCTGCTGCTCGCGTAGCTCTCGCTGCCTCGCGTGGCTCGCTCGGGAGTCTGAGTACTTTAGTCACGTTCTTCATCTCTGGATTCTCAGGACTGGAAATAAAGCTTGCATGTGTCCTGTTAGGAGATTTAAAGTTCACCTGCAACATTATTTTCATGTGTGCCAGCTCGTAGCATTTTTACACACTGAGAATGTTACTCTCAAATGCTGGAGTAGCCACCTTGAGAGCTTTGTAAGGTGGTAAAGTGAGTTTGGAAACCAGGCAACCTCCGTAGTACTTAGTGTGGTAGATGATTTGGGTTTCATCAAAAGTGACAAACAGTTTTTACATCTCCTCTGTGGGGTGCTCCAGCAATGTTACCGTTTCTGAGCCTCTGTGCCTCGCCGCCTGCCCCCGTTCAGGTAGTGTGACCTGCAGAAAGCCTGGCAAAATCTGAGGTAACTGTGAGGTGCGGGTCCTCTGTGAGGAGGGAATTTCCTTTCCTTTTATTTATTTATTTATTTTTCAGTCGCTGTAGTTAGTTAGTAATTTGATAGATGAAGTTGCTTTCTGAGGGAGTAAATTTTTCTTCTGTAAGAAAAAAAAAAAAAGCCTAAAAGTTTTACAAACTGGTGTAGAACAGTCTGTGTGTTGAACATGTGAAACCTGAATATTGTGCAAATGTAACTGGGTGAGGAGACTTATACTGAATTAATAAAATGCTGATGTGTTCAGTTTTAGGAAGCTGAAATGTAGGTGATTGTTTTAGGATACAGTAAAGTCCCCCCCAAATGGTAGTTACCTGGAGTACAAGATGAAGAGTAATTTCCGATCCTTGCAGATACCATTGGTGGTAGGAGGTGAATAAATCAATACCTGGGACATTCTATCTTGGGAATCCTACGATCCGGGATAACTGCTAGTGTTTTAATACATTGCTGATGTGTTGGTAAAACCAACAGCGGAGTCCTGGCATGGCCAGAGCAGAGGCAGCCTCGGATGCTGGCCCCCACGGACGTGGGCGCTGGAGCCGCGTGCCGAGGTCGGCCGGGAGGCTGTGTCCGTCCCCGCTCGGCCGGTGACGCGTGACCCTGCGCCTGCTGCCAGGGGGTCCTGGCTGAGGGTGGCACCGCCGCGAGCCGCGGTCACATGCGGGGGCGGCCGTGCTGGGCACCCTGGTCACGCATGGGGTCGGCCGCGCAGCGGGGACGGTGCAGCAGGGCGTTGAGCATCTGGAGCCGCCGCTGAGGCTCCTGCCTGCGGCTCGGGCTGTTGGCCGCCTTCCCCGGCTCCGTTGGGAAGTTCTCGCAGTTTGGAAAGCCTGCCGTCCTGGATCTGTTTTGCTGTGAGCAGAGGCCGTGGTGCCACAGGCTGCGCTGCCGCCCTGGGGGAAGCTCCCGCGGATGGACCAGGGCAGCCCTTGCCTCTGGTCACACCAGCGTCGCGCGCGGCTCCTGCCCCCGGCAGCAAGGAGGCACTTGAGAAACCTGGGTTTGAGGGAGCCGGGGATGCGGCCAGGGGCTCTGCAGGCTTTTTCCGTAGTAAAAATCTTCACACAGACGACCGAGCTTGCTCATCTTCTGTGATGCGTTGATTTTTGCCATGGTGGGACCTTGGCTGTGAGGGGAATTAAAACATCTTTCCCCTGGGATAGTAACACCGTTCCCAAATGACGTATCAATTTCTACCCGGATATGACTAAGGTGGACAGGCCACCTAAAATCAGCTGGAAAAGGTGCCTTGCATACTGCAAGGTTCAATAAACAGCCGCTTGGTGCAGGTCAGCGCTGAGGTGCGTAGCGAAGGGGCAGACTTGTTTAAATGGTATTTGCCCATAGCGAGGGAAATCTGCGGGCCCGACTCGCTTGGTTTGAGGTCGGGAGGGGTTTCAGGGGGGCACAGCGCGTAGCCGCTCCGGGTAAGAGCTGGCCATCTCTGCGGGACACCCGGTGCTGCCGCAGCTCCTGCGCTCTGTCCTGGGGTGTCCTGGGTCCCTGCCCACATCGGAGATGGGCGGTGTTGGTGTGGGAGGAGGGCAGAGCGTCCCGGTCCCTTGGGCCGCCACGGCTCCGCTGGCCACTGCAGCGGCTTTACTGTTGCCCTGGGCGGGTGCGAGGGGTGTCTTGCTGGGGGGCAGCACCTGTCGCCCTCTGGGCGCGTTCTTGTTGCTCCCTGGGCCCGTGTCCTTCCAGCCGGAGATTCCATCCCCAGGCGGCGGGTGGCTCTCCCCGCAGACAGAGCCTCCGCGCTGCCTTAGCGCTTCCTGGCCTTTGAATATACCGGTGGAACGTGGCGACCCAGGGCAGACGTGCCCAGGGTGCCTCTGTGAACGGCACGGTGTGGCCTGCGCTGTCCCCCGCTGTGGCCGTGGCTTCGTGGCGCCGGTGCCCTGCTCCTCGCAGCCCAGCAGCGGCTTCGCAACAGCGCAAAGCGCCTGTGGTCAGCATAGCTCCCCAAGCTGTAACCTGCCCCAGCGCAGCGTGTGGGGCTGGGGACGCTGGAAGGGTCCTCGGTGCCTCCCCCGTCTCGCTCTCTGTCATCCCGGATCCACGGCACAAACGTGGCTAGGGAGAGCCGAGGTGCTGACCTAGAGGAGCCGCCTCCGCCGCGCGCAGCGCCCCAAGCCCTTGAACCTCTTGGGCTTGTAGGATCTCGAGGCCGTAGGATCTCGTACCAGGAGATCTGCTGGTGGTGGATGAGCTCCTTGGCCGTGCTGGTAACACCAGCAGGGGGTCAGCCGTGTTAGTCTTGACAAATCCTTTAGACATCACTGTAGGAGTCCTGTGTGTCCCCACTGTGGAGGAGATGCGGATGTTTCCATACAGCGAAAAGATAAGGTTAGTGTGGGAATCAATCCTGACCAACCTGTGGATCTTGGAGATTTTAAAGTGCTTTAGGGTGTATATGAATGGCTCAAGTTCAGTAGCAAAAGGTGAATTCAAAGTGAAACTTTGAATCTCAGTTTTAAAAGTGCATTATCCTCCTGCAGTGATTCTGGATTTAAGCTAGTGATGGGAGGATTAACTGGGATTTGGTGGATTGCTTCAGGACAGCTGCACTTTTCTGTACTGGTCAGTCAATTTTCACTCATTTTTTGGTAGCTGCTGTGGGAGTTGCATTCTGTGAAGGTAAAAAAGAGACTGAATTTTATCTTCCAACATGACTAAGACTTTTCTGAAAGCTTCCTGGTGTCCGTTTCTGACTGCTGGGGAGCCAAAGCAATGACTTTTCTTTTTAGTCCCTTTTTATGTGAATGAAATATTTGCAGTTCTACCATCAATTTGGGCAAAGATGACTTGTAAGAGCCCCTTTCCTGCAGGGCTAGTGTGAAGAGAGGTCATTGCTCCTGTTTTTAGGTGTGTCAAACCCATTGCTATTCCATGCATTAGCTTTTCAATTGAAAATATAATCTCTGTTTTAAAGCAAACAAGCTCTAACTGTATTAATAGTGAGGCTGAACGACCCTCTTCCAGCCCCCTGCGGGTGTGATGGGTCTGGGTGCATCTTAAGCTTCCAGGGGGCTGCGGCTCGGCATCCAGCCTCAGCTTTGGTACCTTCCTGGCACACTCATTCCTACTGATGACGTTTGTTTCTGCCTTTGTGCCGGCAGGTTTAGGTTGGCTTGCAGCGTAGAGGCACTATGTACTCGGAGTGGAGATCTCTGCACCTTGTCCTTCAGAATGAGCAGGGCAGCACGAGCGTGCTGCACAGCTACCCCGAGAGCGTGGGCAGGGAGGTGGCGAACGCCGTGGTGCGGCCCCTGGGGCAGGCCCTGGCCTTGGCCGCCAGCGAGAGCCTCCTCAAGACGGACAAGGAGGTGAGTGCGCTCCCGTCGACTGTGGCGATTCCTTCCTGCGCTTGTGGCCGCTTAATGGTCTTCCTATGGATTCGCTTCCTGAAAAATAATCCGTTTAATAGGCATTTGGAAGTGCACTGTGTTAGGTTAGTAATCCGTATAAGTAACAGTGGGATTTATGCTCAAATAGCAAGTGGCTTGCAGTGTTTATCTAAGCTCCTATATGAGCATGTTTAGCCTGAAGTTTAAAAAAATAAATAAATTTCAGGAATTTAGTTTTCTTGAAATTTGCTCCAAGTTGTCTGACTACAATTTTGACTAAACAGCTTCAGGTTTCACGGTAGCTTATTTGCAATCTTTGTAACACCTTGGTAGTGTGTAAAAACACTCAGGTCTGTCATGAGTCTATAACTCATGTATATGTCAAATTGGAATCCGTTCTAATGCAACAAAATAATAATAAAAATAGCTGGGTAGTAAATGCAAGGTGTGTTAACCACTGGTCACCCACTAAGATAGATGTTTAATGGCCTTGCTTTGTGTTTCGTTCAGGTGAAATGGACTATGGAGGTGGTTTGCTATGGACTGACCCTCCCTCTGGACGGCGATACTGTGAAATACTGTGTCGATGTATATACGGATTGGATTATGGCTCTTGTGTTACCTAAGGACTCCATTCCTTTACCAGTTATTAAGGAACCAAACCTTTATGTTCAAAGCATTCTCAAACATCTCCAAAACCTCTTTGTACCAAGGTGAGTATCGGGTTGGTGCTAATGGTGGGAAGGAGGGTGGGCAATTAGTGCTGTTGTCAGCTGGTGCCCTGGAGAGGCCTCACTGAGCCTTGCACACCTGATTAAATCAAGAGTGCAATTATTGCAACTTGAGATTAAGAGGTAGGTGTCCTCTCCACGCATGTCTTGTAGTTGTCAGTAGCAAGTCTGGCAGTTGCTGCTGTGTTTAGATAACTAATTCGGGATCCTGGATAGCCTTACATGTTTGCTGTTCAGAGGACTTGGAGAGCGCTCTCTGTTAGGTGACCAGAGGTTGGAAGGAGACAGTAGCATCACTGAGCGCTTGGTACTGCTCAAAGCTAACAACTAAACACACATGATGGCAATTCAGTGCTCTGCCCAAGAAGGGACTGCGTTTCTGATGTGATCCGGCAGTCAGGCTGCTTGCTTCTCTCTGCTGTTCAAACAGGCAAAATTACATTGGCCACGTGTCGTCACCAGTAGCTTTTAAAGGACGCCACAGCGAAGGGCTTGCTATCTGACACCCTGATGTGGTGCTGACCATCAGTGGATGGTGGTTTGGAAGGTGCATCTTGCACAGACAATTGTATGTCAGAGTTCTCCAGGAACACTTCATTCGAAGTCTGAAAAGTTTTCCCTGCTGCTGTGGAGCACACAGATATTGGATAAGGAGGAGGAGATGGCCCTCTGCAATGGTACTTCAATAATAGGGAATACTTCGAATCAGTGGGGGGTTTTTTTTTTTTTTTTTACAGATCTGTAAGAACCAGCTCATCTGCCTTAAAGAAGTCATAATTCTGTATCACTGAGTGACCTTCAGAGTGCTCTGCTGCACTTGTCCTGCCTAGTATCCCCCCCGGGCAGTGTTAATGAAGAGCTTTCTGAATAGTAATTCATACAGATTAGGTGGTTGCTGCTGCTTATTCACATAACTCTCACTTTAGAGTAAAGTCAGAACAAAATATCCTCCAAGGCTTTTCAAGAGAGCAAAATACAAACCAGTCACCGAGGAGAGGAGGAGGAAGAACAGACAGACACTTCCCCATCCTGCCTTTCTACCTCTAGCTTCATGGCCACAGCAGTGAGAATGTTTGGGCTGAGCCTTAGTGGGGCTTATGCAGTTAGTACAAAGCCTCTTCAGATGCCTGGGTGTCTTTATGGACCTTACCCATGAAGATCCCGCTCTCTTCTTGCTTTTATGTTCTTGATTCTTGTATCTGAGATCAGCTTCTCTGTGTGGTGTGACAACTCTTACGTTCCTGAAGGTAATCAGCAATAAATGAGCGTGAAGACCTGGAAAACAGTAGTATCTAAATATGATTTTTTTTTTTTTTTTCTTTCCATCTAAAATAAAAGTTAGAGAAAATGGAAGAGAGTTTGGGTCTCTATTAGAGTAATCTTACAGGTCGCTTATTGGGCACATGTTGATCTCTGAGCTTATTTTCACACACAAATACTTAATAGTCTTGCACAGAGAAGGTTGATGCACATTGAACTTGCCTGAATTTTAGGCATTGCTTGCAAAGAGCAGCTGCTACTTGTTCTAAATGCAAGATAGTTTAACTGCAGCTATTCCATATTTTACATCCAGCAGCAGAGGCTACTGCTGATGGTGCTTGCTGGTATAAAGCTGTCGTGCAGAGAAGTCTTAAAGGAAAGCTCAAGTAGAAGTTCCAGGTACTGTCATGTTAAGGCAGAGTCCAAATCAAAGGCAGCCTGTTTTATTGATATGAAAATACTATTGATAAATAGGCAACCTGGTGAAGAGAACTCTCTGCAGAATGACTGACCTGCTTGATCTGCTACAGCACTTAGCACATGCAGGCTGCTGTCGAAACGCTTTACCGCGTGGTACTCTAGAGCACCGACTCTTCACTAGTGCATTAAATAGTTCTTGACTTCTTCTGTCAGAGGCCACATTAGCAGGCACTTAAGTAGTCCCGTTCCTTGCATGTTGTTGGCAGAAGCTACTGTTATACCTTTCTTTCCCTACTTATTTAATTTGATGCCAGATAGTAGACTGAACCTGATACATTTTGAAGGAAATAATAAACATTCAGGCCCAGCGAGGGATGGAAAATCCTGGTACCTCAAAAACATGTAACAGGTTCCTTCCTGTTGTTCTTCCTGAAGATCCTTGTACGTGCCTAAGACGCTGTTTTCATGGCTGTTGTTTGCCGCCCGGGCTGTTTAAGTCACTATTCTCTTTTCAAGAAATAGGTGTGAATTTCTCTTCCATACACCTGTGTGGAGATTTCAGTCCAGCAAGAGAAAATGGACTATGATAAAGCAGGCAGGAGAGGAAGGCACAAGTACTTCCTGACTGTGCGTGATGGATGCAGGTTTCTTGTGGTGGAGGTGGAAGCCCATAGAACATGTGCACAGGAGCTCCTGCTGCAGCCGTCGTTCAGGCATCTCTTGCAAGAGCGTCTCCTAACAGGAGCCAAATTAAAATACTACCAGTATTTTAATACACTAAGCATTTATTAGGCTGTGTCATGGGGGATGTTGTAGAGGGTTCCTAGAAATGATGTAGCTGTTAGTTCCTCATCCTTGTTCTTTAAGTGTGGTTAAAGAACTTTAAGTGTGGTTAAGAGCTGCAGTGAGAGCCTCAGTCCAGGGCTGAGCAGTTGGAAGGCCTCAGATGGTGTCAAAAAGCCTCAAAGGAGCAGTTCAAACCCAAATAATATCTGAAGAAACAGTCACGGAATAAATTGCTCTACACCTCACTGTAGTTTGAATGCTCAACTAAAGCAACACGCCCAGTCACTGAGAAAGGTGTAGCTGAAAAATGAGGACACTGCAGAGTAAGAGCGAGTCGAGCTTCCTTCTGTTACCTGCTGCCTGGAGAGAGTGCTGGTGTCCTTCGCTCCAGCACGGACCTCCCGGGCCCCTAACCAAAGTGACGCTTCCTCCTGGGGTGGCCGAGTAGCCTTCAAGCCATCCTCGTGCTCCTGTCTCCTGTCATATAGAGGAACGGAGAGCCCTGCTGCTTGCTTGGTGGCTGCTGCTGGGAGATCAGCCTTCAGTGCCACAGCTGCTTGTCTGAAAGGTGGAAAATGTGAAAATCCTCCTCCTTCCCCTGGCCGAGATGCTCTGCAAGCAGAATGGGGAGGCTGAGACATGAACTTGGCACCCGGGTAGTTAGCACTGCTGATAGGTGTGGAGTCCCCTGGGACTCAATGTAATATAAGTATAAGACTGTCCAAGTCTAATAAACCTTAACTTTTTTTGCTTTGGTAAGGACTTCTGAGTTAAATAAGCAATAGGAGGATTTCCAAGGTTTCATGGGAGTTTGGGAACCAAAAGACCAAGCTCTGTAGAAATTCTAAGATATGACTGTAAAATGCTGGAAATGAAGTTACTGTTGGTGTGATTTTAGGGGAAAAAGTTACTGGTAGATGGAGGCTTTGAAGTTGCTTTAGTAACAGAAGTAACTCCTTAGTTCTCTTGCATGTGGAGCACCTTACATGTGAGTCTCTTTTGTATAGTTTCACTTAACTGCTAGGGGAGTAAGTTGTGAAATAGCTTTCAAACTTAGGAGAATGAAAATTAAGACTGTCCTTTGCTAAAGTATTTGCCCTGGTTGTTTCTCTGAGAAAAAAATAGGCTAAAACCGGGACAGGGCTTGTTTGTTGTGAACTTTGGCCTGTCCGTTAGGATGTAGCCTTCAGATATAGGCATGGCCTATAGGATATGACTGAGCAACCTGCCGAAACCCAGGACTGTTGCTTCGGAGCGCCGCACGCAGGAATAGTCCCCTGTCTGTTTTTCCCTCCCGTCAGCAGGTGAGGAGGGATGAGGAAGCAGCGGCACCCTGAGGGCCTGGGGCCGCTGGTGCCCACCTCCGCTCCTTGAACTCCCTGGCAGCCCTGGTTTTGCTTCCCTCTGTCCTGGACTGCTGCTCACACCAGTTCGCGTTAATAGTTGGTCTTTATTTGCTCTAGTATTTATTTGCTCTAGTGCTTATTCTGCCTTGTCTGAACTCACGGCTTGGGTGAAAACCTGCCGCTCATGGGCACAGGAGACCGCCCTGAGCAACTCAGCTCTGATAAAGTATATGTGGTGGTTACTGGAGAACAACTTAATGCTAGCAGCTTGTTCCCTCCCTGTCCCTTCTCCTTTCATTTGATATTCCTATTTAACCCTTTTTAAACTTTTTTTTAACCTTTTTTATTCCTTTTTTAATGCAAGGGATTTGGCGTACAAGGTGAATCCATGCTTCAAACTGAAAAGAGCACTGAGAAGAAGTTAAACTAGTTTGCCAGCAGCACTTTTTTTTTTCTAATTTCAGCATTTCCTTTTGTTGAGACATCACTAATTGTGTGTCTCAACAAAACTTCATTTTAACTTTGGTTTAAGATGCATTCTTCTGGAGAAACGCTTTGTATTTTCTCTATTTGAAACGCCCATTTTGCGCTGGGACGTTGCATGTCAGGTAATGAGCGTTAGGGAGCTCTCGTACCCGTTAAGGCAGACCTAGGATGCTTAGAAGCAGCTGGGCTCACGCTCTTTGCTCTTGTTCCATGGTGTTGTTCTCCCTGGTAAATGCTCCCAGTCCAGCTCGGCATGTGCATCACACTGTGCTGCTTTGACTTGCTTTTTAGACTCACGTGGAGTGTTGTTCTTCTCTTGTAGGCCAGACCCCGGGTCTAGCCAGATCAGGCTGTGCTTGCAAGTGTTGAAAGCTGTCCAGAAACTGGCTCGTGAATCCACAATTATGGCAAGAGAAACCTGGGAGGTTTTGCTATTATTTCTTCTTCAGATTAATGACACTCTTCTAGCAGCTCCGACGGTGCAAGGTTTGTGTTCAACTTTGTTTTGCTTCTACTACGGGGAGAAACTTCAGCTCTGCTTGCTGTTGAGCTGCCTGATGGGGGAAACCTCTTAAATGCTTTGGGTAGCCACGAGAGAGCAATGGCTCCTTCCTAATTCTGCTGCTCCACTCTGAAATGAAGCAGTATCCAAAAAGATGGAGTGCTTTGGAACTGGCCCTGTTCCCCAAACTGTGTTTCAGTGAAACAGGGGGCTGTGTACGTGAAACAGCACATGAAGACGGGTTTCAGGTCACCTTGTTTCCTGTCTGTCACACTGAAACGTGTACCTTGGTACTGGGTGCAGCTATCAGAAAACACTGTTGTTAGGAGATACTCAACATTTATTTGTATATTTATAAATAAATATGATATCGAGTGTGCTGTGCATTGGCGTACCATTTAGCTACAGTTAGTAGCTGAAATCACACTCTCGCATATATGTGGTTGGGCTTTATATATAATTTTGGTCTTGTAAAAAGCTTAATTGACTACAGGAAGTAATCAGGAATCATTCTTGAAAATGAAGAGAATTTTAAAGCTATTTTTGCAGTTATCACTTAAACGGAATCCTAAATAGACGAGGTGTAACCGTGGCAGTTGTGAGGTTGTGCCAGACGCGACGGGCGCTGGGAGGGAGGCCGGAGGGGTGCAGCGAGGCTGCTCACCGGGCTCGCTGTGTCTCTGCCCAAGGTGGCATTGCGGAGAGCCTGGCGGAGAGGCTCATCGGCGTGCTCTTCGAGGTGTGGCTGCTGGCCTGCGCGCGCTGCTTTCCAACGCCACCCTACTGGAAAACCGCCAAGGAGATGGTGGCCAACTGGCGGCATCACCCTGCCGTCGTGGAGCAGTGGAGCAAGGTTATCTGTGCCCTCACGTCCAGGTAGGAGAAATCCCGCAGGGATAAGCGTGTGCCCATGGCGATGATGGGCGCCGCTCGTTTCCCCTGGCTTTTGCTTGTTCGTGGAGCACACAGTGCTCACTCCAAAAGTGAGTGAGCGGAACAAGTGCATGATCAGAGGGACCTCACTAGCATTCCTGCTTTCTGCTACGCATGCGTGCACGTGTCTTCATTTCACAAACGAACAGTTTAAACGGTTGGTTTGTTTTTGTATAAACTCAGCATCTCTCCGACATTTAAAACTTCACAGTATGAGTCTATTACTCTCCATCGTTGTGACTTTTTCATCCTGTACTGCTTAATGAGGTTTATTTTAACTCAGTCCAAGGTTTTTACTTTTGAGGTACGTGTTAAAGTACCAAGTGCGGATAGACTTTCCACTTTATGCTGCTTGCTATACCTGTGAGGAAATAAAGCTGCAGCACAAGTTCTGTGTGTTTCCCACGCTGCTTCTTTAGCTATTTTTATCCCGTTAGATGTAGCATTGCATAACAGCAAATATTCATGATTCACTGATCTGAAAAGAACAGCTGTGTCTCAGAGCATGTGTTGGTGTTCTGCTCCACGCTCCCTGTGCCCACATTTCGTCTCAACTGTTGACTACAAGTTTTTGTTCTGTTTATGCACAGTAACCTGCAGGTTTTCTGCCTATTTTCCTTAGTCAGCTTTTCCTCTACGTAGTAATGTTCTTTTGCATGTAGTATATAAGAAGGGAGGCTCCTTTGATGTTAAGTTTAAGTTAGTGCTCTTTGAGACTGCGTGCCTGGTTCTTCAGCGGAGCTCCAACTTCAGACACTTAACGTGCCGTTTTCTGAGTTGGTGGTTAGCAATAAGCTGAGAGCAAGCTTTTCAGCTTGAAATCGTATAGAAGTTATTTATTTGGGAGCTGATACACTTAAGAAGTGTTAAAATCCATATCCAGGCGGGTGCGACTTCACGGCAGAATAAAACCAATGTCTTCCCCGTGTGCTTACCTATATATAGATACCTCTTTTACCAAAATTACTTCTCTACCAAAGCATTGGGTGCTTTGCCCCTGCTCCAGGTGGTCTCCCGTTTGGGGATCTTTAGCATTATCTGAGTACCAGTGGCTGTGGTGCCCAGGGTTTGAGGGGGGACAAATCTTCAAGAGAAGAGAAGCAGCAATTTGACCTCCTCAGGTCTTGGTCTAGGAGCGAGCCACGGGCTGGGGTTCTCCACCCCGCTGCCCCGTCAGCAATGCCGTGAGCCCCCCCTGTAAATTAGGGGTCGTGCAGAGCTCTGTAATGGGCATTGGCAGCTGGGCCCTTCCTTGTCCGTTCCAGGCAACTCGGTTTAGAGAAAGAAGGGATTCCTGAAGCAAGAAATAAGACTGACACTGCCGTTAGGCTAGGGAGAGACCAAAACCAGTTTCTGGGGATGTCGGGAGCCTCAGCAGGCCCAGCTTGCCTTTCTTCCTTGTGGAATACCAAGGTGGTGCTGATCAGGGAAACTTAGGCGTGAAATCGGGGTTGTACAAGACAGCAGTGGGTCGTGAGTGACGGGTGAGGTATCTGGAGCAGCTCTAGGGAGGGATTGCGGCTCCCTTATGGAGCTGCCAGCCTGGCCGTGCTGCCCTGCCGTGAGGGGAAGGGAAGGGCGGCCCTTCCCGGCGGCCCTTCCCTGCCCTCCCTGCCGCGGGGCCGGGCGCGCGTCCGCCGAGGCCTGCGACACGGCCGCTTGGAGCTCGTGGGGTGGCCGTGCTGGGCGCTGGCTCGAGGCCCGTGGGCGTGGGCTGCGTTAGTGGAAGCGTTTCCCTTCGCGGGTGTCTCTCGGGCGTTGTGGGCAGCTCTGTCGGTGGGTCATGCGCCGGGCGCGCGGCGCCACCGAGCACGGAGCGCAGGGCGAGCTCTGGTCCTGCTCCAAGGCATCAGCTTCTCAAAGACTGAGGGGGACAAAACCATTGCGTAATTGGAGATAAAACCTAGGGAAAGTTGGGAAAGTGAGCAAAAAGTCAGGAAGGCTTAGCCTGGCACGGTGTTGCTTTTGTGCTCGGTGACAGGCTGCAGACTTCCCCAAGACCCAAACGCATGCTTAAATTTTGAGGTGTGTTCACTGAACGACAGGTCTCTCTGACTTGCTCCTAGGTTGCTGCGTTTTACATACGGGCCTTCGTTCCCTCCGTTTAAAATCCCGGATGAAGATGCAGGTCTGATTCCTCCAGAGATGGATAATGAGTGCGTTGCACAAACTTGGTTTCGCTTTTTACATATGCTGAGGTATTGTAATCACAGCCATACGTTGTTCATGTTCTTGAGTTGTTTTATAAGCTTCCATTACACACATATGTATTTTTATCTGGAGACTGGTGTCATTAAGTACTCAAATAGCGTAGAGCTTGAGACACTTGTGATAGCAGCCTGCAGCAGCCCAGGGCAAGGCTGTGAGTGAGGGTTGTTCAGACTTGGGGACCTTTTTGGAAAAAAAGAAATGGTTCATTTAATGAAAATACATATATTTATAGTTTGTAGCTATTAGGCCTTTTGGAGGATCTTAAAAATAAAGACTTCAATACAGTTCTCTTTCTTTGAGACAGCAAACAGGAAAAGCAGAACAATAGCACTGTGATCTGTATGCTGCCTCCACGTACTTGCCAAGTCATTAAAGTTAACCTACCAGAGGTTATTTTTAGAGTGGGTGTATGACTTTGTTTTTATGAAGAGAACTATATAATTAATTTTAAAATACATGTTTTTTTCTTTCCCTGTTAAGTATATAACAAAACCAAGTAACTTTGCTTTTTTAGGCTTCTTTGAAAATGCGTCAGTTTAATGTTCTGGCCATACAGAGCATTATGTTATGTTATTTTATTTTTTTTTTTAGCATAAATCATTTTTAGTAATTAGTAATGAAAGTTAACCAAATGTTAGATTGCTTAAAGTCTACTACTTTTCATTAGCTAAAAATCTGTTCTTTATCTCCATTTGTGATAGTAGTGTCACAAGTGTCATACCCTTCAAATCTGGCCTTGCTGTTTCAGGATTTGTACTGGCCAGAAACAAGAGCTCAAGATTTACATCCCCTGCCCTTACACTTTGTGATCATTTTTTACTGACGATATTTGTTTCAGTGCTAACCCTTTTAGAAGGCACATTTTTAACCATGTTAGTACCCCTTGAGAACTGCGTTCAAAAGACTCTTATGCAGTTAATATTATTGCAGCTGCGGTGCTGTTCTGTGTAGTGCATTCTCTGGTTCACTGGGTTGATTGATAAGATTATTAAGCCTATTTGGGTAATGTTTAAAATGAAGGCCTGCCAACAGAGAAAATGGACATTTTAATATCATTTGTGATAAAGTAATAGCTTAAAAAATACAGAACATGCTAGTATAATAACACTGCCCCTGCAGTTATGTTATATTAGGTGCTCCCTTTTGTTGCTGTTTGTTTAAATATGTCTAAAATCAGTGTATCTTTAAGCACTTTAAACAATTCTTAACCTTCTAACAGTTATTATTCTTAAGCTGACTAAAATGTGTTTTGCTCTCTTCTGTGTGCGCAGTAATCCTGTGGATTTGAGTAACCCAGCCATTATTAGCTCTACCCCCAAATTTCAGGAGCAGTTCCTGAATGTGAGTGGAATGACTCAAGAACTGAATCAGTACCCCTGCCTTAAACATCTGCCTCAAATCTTCTTTCGTGCCATGCGTGGGATCAGCTGCTTAGTGGACGCGTTCTTAGGTAACACCTTTTGCCTTGTCTGTGGATAGCTGGGAACAGTGACCTGATTCCTGTTTTATTCTTTTAGAATCTGGATTCTTCAGCAACACAGATGTAACAGTCTAATTTTTCCCTTGCAAGTATATCATGGGATCAACAGAGAAAGAATCTAAAATCACTTTTGAATGGCCAGAATTCTAAGTAAATTGCCATTAAATTATATATCTCTAGATGTGTATAAAGTCTAAATTAAAACTGGACATCCTCTTTTCCCAAATGACATTTATTTCTCTCTACACCACAGTGCAGGTTTTAGACTTTTAGCATGCTGTGAACATTGACAACTCTATTTATAAACTTGGTGGCAGCACTTGTTGCTATAAGATATTGATTCTTGATTGGCATCTTTAGATATTTATGCTGCAGGTACCAGTTGCACTTAACTCTGGATTAATGGGTGACGAGTGCTACTGAGAAGGAAAGATGTGTTACTTGCTGTCTGCTGGTAATTGAGTAGTGTAAATGTCACTCAAGGATAAAGTAGATTTAAGCACAGGCTGCTAATTTTTAAATAATATGATATAGCACTGGGAGGCTGTGGTTGTACTAAGGTTGTATTCTTAGTGTGCCTCAAGCTTATGCAAGCTTTAGAGGTAACAAACTCCTGCAGCCTCTCAAGAACTGACCGTCTCCTGCTGCTTTTTGGATTAATTATATGCAAACAAATGTTATCATCTGCCAGAAAGGTAAATTGATATGAGACTGCAGACGACTTGAGCAGAAACATAAACCAAGTTCAGAAAAAGGTTTGTTGCAAAATCAGACTGTCAGGTTTTACTTTTCTTTTTTAATTTGAAAAACCTGAGTAGTTCAGTCCCTTTTAAAAAAAAAGCACCCCAAGACCCTCCTGTCTCCCTGAAATTGTAAGATACTTTTTGTTGGAAGTACATGCTGTGTTGCTGTAAAAAATATTGCAAGGAAAAAGGATTGCTATTTTATTCTTCATTGAAAAAAAAATATGGTTCTTACAGACATGTTGAAACTGTTACTTAGACTGTGATAGTGAATCTTGAAACCTCCCCTGTACTTCTTCCCAATGTCTTGCCACCAGTTTTAAAGACTTGAATAATCGCTTATTACTGATGCCAGATAGGAGATTTCAAAATATTCTTGAATAATAGTGGAGTTTATGAAAGGAGGGTGGTATAGTAGTCATAAGGAGTGGAAAGTTATTTTGCTCTGAGGGGCTAAAATGTAAAACTTTTTTTTGTGAGCAAATCATTGAAGCATCCCGTTGTCGTAGATAGATGTGCAGTGCCCTATATTATCTTTTCTTCATGTTATACAGTCAGCCCCCTACTTGGGCTCAGGTTCTAACTGACCCCATATTTTAATTAAACTGCAAAAAATGTGGAAGGAGTAATACTAGCAAAGGTAATATTAAGGCTAAAATACGAGGTGCACAGAAGGGGATGGCTCACACATGTATGTGAAGAGCAAGCGAATGAAGATCGTGGAGACGCTTCCTTGTTGGATTCCTGCTCAGATCTGGCTGGAGTAGCTTCCAGGGAAAACCTGTGCCCCTTTGGGCCAGGGGTTTCGAAACCATGGGCACAATACAGGTCACTCTATGGTTTTAATTGAAAACATTATGATCTATTTTAACTGAAAGCAGGCTAAAATACAGAATAAAAACTTCCATAGAGGCATGAATCAAGGGTGTCTGGTTTTTGATAAAAAAGGGCAAGCATCTGTGCTCTTCCTCGAGGATTCTGATGTTAACTGTACTCGTGTTCCTTAAAACTGGAGTTGTAGGTGCAGAAAGGGTTTTCCCTTGGGCAAACTGACAGGAGTAGCAGCAATCCGTATCTCCTTCCTCACGTCAGCCACCGGCAGAGACCTTCAGGTTTCTCTCTTTCCCAAACTCCCTGGAGTCGTTAGGGTGGCCTGACCGTAACGAGGCTCTGCGTTCTCCGACGTCCAGGGGAGAGCGACCCTTCCTGCGCAGCATCCTTGCCTCCGGAATTGCCTAAGAACTAGTTTAGTCAGACATTAAAGATGATCTCAAGATAAACGTGAGCAACATGTGGCGTGACTTTGCTACAACCACCTCCTTGTCGCTCTCTCCAGCTCTGCCAAATCCTCTTTCTGCAGGTGGAAAATCTCCTGCAGTGAAACAGTAAAAAATGGAGCTTGCTGTAAGGTTTCCTCTGGGAATATCTAAAAACTATTTAACAGTTTTTAAAAGCTATTAGATATAGCAGGTATGGAGGAGCAGCACGCTATGGCCAAGAACCTTGTGGAAGTGCCCTTGGTAACGAGCAGTGTCAGTTTGTAAATTTGCCCTCTCTGGAGTCTCCATCCGATTGCCTGCGCCTCCGTTGGCAGGAGGTGGTGACCCGAGCAGTGGGCACCAGTGCTGGTGGTCACTGACATGGGATGGAAGGGATTTGTGGCTGCAGATTTTGCAGGGAGAGATTCTGAGTTAACTGCTCCTGATTCTGGGACTGGGCAGAGCAGCTTTCCAGGCCCTGCAAGTGTTTCCCCAGTTTTACAAGATGACAACTGATCTGATGCGCTGCTACTGTCAGGAAATTCCGCCTTGCCCTGCTTTCTTGCCCCTTGCCCTGTAGGGCTGGGCTGTTCGGGGAGCTGATCTGCCGACGTGTCGTGAGGCTGCTGGGCTCCGTGGCAGCCGAGCGAGCTGCGGTGGCTCTGCAGGGCGGACGGCTGCTGGAGCTGCCTCGGAGGAGGGCGCAGGGAGACCGCGGCGCCTGGCTGCACCGAGCTGCATCCTGGCCTCGGCACATGAGCCTTGCCCCTTTCCTTCCCTCTGATTTGCTCTTCCCAGGAATCCGTGCCTAAGTTCTTTTTTTCTTATCCTGGGGCTGTTTGCCTATCTAGTGCAACTGGGGCTTTCTCTTGCTTGTGTTTTTATTTATGCTGTTTTATGACTGCTAATAATAAAAGTGGAAAGATGCTGCTCTTAGCAGTGCTCTTTGGGGAGAGGTGGAAGAGCTCGTCTCTTTACAGAAGCCCCCGTTATAGCTGTGCAGCCGCCTGCGAGCCCAGGGCGGCCGTGCTTAAGGTTTGCTCTGTTTGCTGCGCGCAGGCATCTCGCGCCCGCGGTCGGACAGCGCGCCGCCCACGCCGGTCAACAGGCTGAGCATGCCGCAGAGCTCCGCCGTCAACACCACGCCGCCGCACAACCGCAGGCACCGCGCCGTCACCGTCAACAAGGCCACCATGAAAACCAGCACCGTAAGGGCTCCTGCTCCGCCCCGAAGCGCCTCCTTGGCTAGGGGAGGCAGCTCGCCCCGCTGCTCGTCGCTGACTTGTTCTTGTGTCCCCGCAGGTCAGCACTGCACATGCCTCCAAAGTGCAGCACCAGCCCTCCTCCACGTCGCCGCTCTCCAGCCCCAACCAGACCAGCTCCGAGCCGCGGCCGCTGCCGGCTCCGCGCAGGCCCAAGGTTAACAGCATCTTGAACCTATTTGGATCATGGTTATTTGATGCAGCATTTGTTCACTGTAAACTTCATAATGGAATAAATAGAGACAGCAGCATGACTGGTAAATATTGCTGAACAAATATCTGTAAATATTTTTTCCTTGTTTTACTGACATTTCCTACCTGCAAGATTAACATGTGCCTAATCCAAAAAAACCCTCTAATCTCAGCCCTGTCTTGTTTTAACCCCTCTCAGCTGCGTCAGCAGCTGTGGCCAGCCCAGCAAGTGTTTGGGACTTGAAAATTAAAAAATCTCTTTTACTACTAAACCCTCCCTTGATCTAACAAGTGTAGCAGTCCCAATTACGCTAGCAGAGAGAAGTGCAAGTGAAGAGAAAAACTTCCTAATTAAGAGTTAAACAGTGAAGAGTTAACTTCATAGCTTGAAGTATTTCTTTGAATAATAGCAGCTTTTTAAACAGATTCTTTAATGTTCAGAAGTTTTAACAGCAGTTCATAAACTACACAAAGCAGTGCTTCCCCTTGTTCTTCTAAAATGCTGTAAAAGCAAAAATCTTCAGCATCTCAAGCAAAGTTGTTGTCCTGCAGTGATGGCTGCTGTGCATTTCTGTGTGTGGTCTGGTACCCAAGTGGTCTCCAATCCTGAACTGCTGGGTTTAATTTTTTCTCACGTGCTTTGCTCGGTGTCAGAGGTTAGATGTCCTTAGACACAAGAGCAGAGGTAGAATCCTCTGCTCAGAGGCTCTTTAGCAATCTCCTTCCTTTGGTGATATATAAAAGGATGAGCCAACGTTACCAGTTGTCTCCTTTTTCTCCCATCCTTTATTTAATATGTCAAATGTCCATGAAATTTTCCCAAAAAATCTACAGCAAAAGCTCACTGACCTAAAGAGAAAAACAAAAAAGGAGGTTTGTTGCAAGGAGTGCAGGAGGTTAGGTAGGACTAAGGTAGGGCTTGATGGCAGCAGTTAAACTGAGTGGCTTCTGTGGTCGTTGTGTCGTGAATCCTGTTCTCCCCCTTGCATGGATGATAGTGGCCTTAGGCGTTAGGCTCTGGAGAAGGTAACCTGAGCTAGACAGCACGGGGTTTGGAAAGCGGTCGGAAGTTCTGGTGGCCGTGGAAAATCCCTTGACATGTGAATAGAGAGATAAATAATTGAATTTAGGAAGGAGTAAAGACTAATTTGAGAGTATATGCAGGTGAATATTCAGGTCATAATTTTTTTATTCATGTATAACTGCTTCTCAGATTGATCTGTTGGCTGTAATTTTGACTTAACTTGTATCTTGAGCAATTTTTAGGTGGTGCTCAACCTAGAAAGGAAATGGGTTAATATGTTGATCTTTTTTAGAAATACAGTATGACTTCTTAGCCATATTATTCCTTATATAACAAAATGCCAGCTGTGAACACAGGTATTGTGATTGCAACTTAGTCGTTCCAAACCCAAATTGACTTGCTGTAAGGGTTTTGGAGGCCTTTTGTTAGCCCGAACAATGTCATAACTCCTCCAACAGCAGTCAGAAAATTGTCTTATTGCTCTTCTAACAGAGGGATTCACCAACCGTTACTTCAGTTTTCCTGTTCCTAGAGACCCTAGCCAGTTATTTGATTAAATAGGATGGTGTCTGGAGTTTTGCAGCAAATGTTTATCCCCTGTCCTTTTCCACTAACAATGAATAAAACTGGCCCAATTCTCTTAGCCCTCCATGCTGTCCAGAGCCACCCATAATGAGGTTGGTCCTCACATGTCACCTGCTCTGCTGTGACCTAACAGCAGATGGAAAAGCTGATGAGCTCCAGTCAGTTTCTTGATTCCAGTTTTTGCACATCTTTAAAGAGTAATTCCTAGTGCACTGCTGTGGGTCTCAAGGAGAGTGTTATGGCTGTACTCAGGAAGGGTAACAAACATCCTCTTGACATAGCCCCTCTGGCAGGTGGGATCCTGCACGTTGTAGTCCAAGGACATGGCTCTTCTATTAGTGCTTGTCCAATTTAGGACTCCTTGGGCAAGACTTGCTGGTTTGCACAGAGTAGCTCCTCCAACAGAAAAGGAATTGGATCCATAGCAAATGCTTTTGGAAAGGATCTCGTCCTGGGTCCTTAAGCTGACTTGGTGCTAGTCGTGGTGCCTTTGAGGTCAGCTCAAGGGAGAGATGATGCTCCTTCAGGGAGAGCTTCTAGTTCTCCAGTAGATCTTCCTTAACTCATTGGCCTTGGTTCCTTTCTTTATTTGATACAGTTATAAATCTTTAGCCTTACAAAATGGGCTGAATTTGTCTTTGCTTTTGTTACCTTCAAACATTTGCACTTGATCTGCCTGGAGCATCAAGTCAATGAAAATTCTCTGCTCAGGGTACTGTCCTCTGAAAGACATCCTGCTGCAAAAGTCAGGAAGTCAGCCTGTTTTCCATCCTGTTCCTGCTTTTCCAGGATGCCACGAGTACCTTTTACCACTGATTAAAGTACTGTGCACAAACATGTTGTGTCAGGCTGGCAGAATGAGAGTGAACTGGACATATGGAAGGTGGACCCATACTGCCAAAGCGAGGTACTAAAATCCGTTTGTCTGACTGCCCGGCAGGCCTCAAGACCAGCTACTAAAGCTCTTCCTTGAGTGGAAGAATGTGACAAGACTTCTTAAGTCTCCATTTCTGTTGATTTTAAGCATCAGCATCTTGTAAAGCTGGGTTTATGTCTAAAAGGAGGAGTTTCTGTTCTGGCGCTCGGTGGAGCTTGGTGCTTCCAGGCAACCTGTGTGTCTCTGGGGCTGTGTTGGGGCTGGGCGAGCGCTGGGTGCTCACACTGCGCTCAGTGCTCCCTGGCACCTGAGCAGGGCACGTGGGAAACGTAACGGGATCTGCAGCTCGCGCCCGTCCGCCTGCCCTGCTCGCGTTACCCGCCCGGCAGACCCTGCGCAAAGAGGGCAGCGGAGAAGGAGCCCTGCTTGTCACAATCCCTACCCGTAGGAAAGGGACCTGCTGCTTTTTGTATGAGTTTTTTGCTTGTTGGTTGGTTATATATGTGCCTGTATATAGCAGCCCATCTCTTATCTTGCATAACTTGATGTGGTAGATGCTTTTGATACTAGCTGGATAGTCTTACCATTTGGCACTGCTGCTGAGAGCCTTTTGCATTAGCCTCAGGAAGTGCTGTTACCTTTTTTCTTTTTTAATGAATACTTCAGATAATATTTATGATATGTAAGTGGCTTTATTTATGATCTACAGGTCCAAGCACACTCTGTTTAACTTTTGACTCTGGGACTGCATTTGTATCAAGGATTTGGTTTTAAGAGTTTTAAGCCCTTCTGTTGTTCAGTTTGTTTCAGTGCCATGAAGTTAAGAATTCCTCCTTTCATAGCTTTCTGATATAATTTTTCTGCTTGTCATTGCCTGCTGATGAGATGACTGAGGACCGCTTTGTAGTGCCAGAGGAGGAGGTGAAACACCTTGATTGAGGATCCTACCTGATTGTGCAAGAGGCACCTCCTGCCCAGGAACACTGTGCTTTCTGGGCTGTTTTTTCTTATTCCTCTCTGTCACTTGACATCCCTGCCTTCTCCTGGGGGAGCTGGCAGCTCAGGGCCTAGACAGATGTCCAGGAAAAGTGTAGCCAGAAGGACTAGGGGAAGTGAATCTCCTCCTGTACTTGGCGCTGGTGAGGCCGCCCCTCGATTGCTGTGCCCAGTTTTGGGCCGCTCGCTACCAGAAGGACACAGAGGCTCTGGAGCGTGTCCGGAGAAGGGCAATGAAACTGGTGAAGGGGCTGGAGCAGAGACCTTGCGAGGAGCAGCAGGGGGGCCGGGTTATTCAGGCTGGAGAGCGGGAGGCTCCGGGGAGACCTTCTCACTCTGCACAACTACCTGAAGGGAGGTTGTAGGGAGGTGGAGGTCAATCTCTGCTCCAGAATAACTACCCTTAGGACAAGAGGAAGCAGCCTCAAGCTGCACCAGGGGAGGTTCAGGTTAGAAATGAGAAAGAATTTCTGCACAGAAAGAGTGGGGAAGCCTTGGGCCAGGCTGCCAGGGAAGCGGTGGAGTCGCTGTCCCTGGCAGTGCTCAAGAAGGCTGTAGCCAAGGCTCTCAGGCACATGGTTTAACAGACCTGGTGTCCAGGGGCTTAGCGTTTGACTCAAGGGTCTTGAAAGTCATTTCCAACTGTAATGATCCTATGATTCTGTGATTTCACCATGATTTCTAAACTGATATTCATGAGCTAAATGAGAGCTCATAAAAATGCCTCTATAGAATAGATGTAGTCTCCTGTTCTGCTTCAGAATTCAGTTCAGTTCTTTTAAAAGAACTCTGCTGATTCAAATCAAGGAGTGTCTCCCGTCTTAAAGGGAGCCCTTTGAGCGTTAGGGAGCAGACAGCAGTTGTTCAAAGGCAGATGTGAGGAATAGCAACCTGTTCTTCTTTCTCGCCTTGATTGGGAGCCTTTTGTCAAAGCCTTAATTCTTTTATATCCAACTCTTTTGCCTCCAAAAACAAAGTCAAGAAGAGTAAGAAAATGTACCTATTGGAGAAGAAACAAAAAGGCATCTTTTTGCAGGTTCTCGGATGAAAATGCCTGACACTTTTTCAGTTAAATAGGTGCTTCTTCAAAGGAGCCTTGAAACCCCGTTGGCCTCTTGATCGTGGCACGGGCTTCCCCGCTGTGTAGCCAGCAAGCACATGTATTTCCTCACTCCGAGGAGACTTTTGAGGTTGAGTGACAGACGACTTTATCATGGCAACTTGCAAGGTTCTTATCTACATCATGATGCTTCTCTCTAATCACAAGCTTTTTGCTTTCCATGTTCTTGAAGGACCAAAGCAGTATGGGTCCAATTTGAAATACAGCAAATTCCATTTAAACATAAGGAAAAAACTTCAGCGTAGTGAAGGGTGGTCAAACACTGGATCTCTTTGCAGATACTCCGAACCTGGTCAGATAGTGCCCTGAGCTGCTCTGGTTTTCCTTGCTTTGAGCAGGGACTCAAGCAGGGTCGGACTGGATAATCTCCAGAAGTCCGTTCTGGTCTCAGCTGTTTTGTGGCTGTAGTTGCTGTCCCTCTGCCCTTGCACAGCTTGGGATGGTCTGCAACATTTCACACCTTCAGTTGCTCTGTTTTCTATCTGCGGTGCTTTGGGAAGAGAGAGGCCACGGAATTATTTTTCTCCTGCACCAAGTACCGGGGGCTAGTTTGTGTACGCTGCGTGCTGATCACCTGCACCGCCTGGAAAGCGCTCTGCCTGTTTTCTCTTTGAGCCTTCTCCTTCACGATGGCCTTCTGGAGTTGTCTGGACTCCAGTGTGAAGCAGTGGCGAGTACTAATGCTCTTGTCCTTTGAGTGTCCTAAGCAGGGTTTCAGTTTCTGCACGGAGACCTTGGCGGAGGAGCTTTATAGCAGGCAGCTTCTGGACATTGTTCTGTGTTGTGATGGGAGAGGAAAAACGATCGGTTCTAAACCGAGTAGTTGGTTTTGAAAGGAATTAGACTTTTTTCTGCTGTGGTCTTTCGAGTTAGATGACTGCAGGTAACTTCCCCTTTGGAGAAATAGATGTTCCGTTAATCTGATGTCTGGTGTGTGATAGTCATTCAGCAAAGTGTGGCGTAAGCAGGTCCCCACGGTTGCCTCTTTGGGAGAAGTCCTTCGGAGAAATGCTCCGTGACGGCGTTGAGAAGTTATCCCTGATGATGGCAGCCCTGGGGCCTGTGAGCTTAGGCTTGCTGCCATGGTTGAGGAGTTTGGCCGTGTGCTGCATCCTGATGCTAATTGCTGCTCAAGAAATTCTAAGAATTAGGAGAAACTCATTAATTGCCAGCAGTTCAGGAAATGAACCCTGCCATCTGATGGCCTTGTTCTTCATACGTAAAGAAGCAAGTCACAAGCTTGACTGTTTTTTATTTTATAGTGGTTGTGTAGGAGTTTTGCTTAGGATGGGTTTGGGGATTACCCAGGCACTGCTGGTCAACATGGAAATCCTAGAGCGTAGTTTTACCCTCATTTTTTTCTAGCCCTTCTCTGTCCCTAGTATGATGTCCCAAAGAAAGTGTCCTGGGGTACAGGAACCTTCCATAATAAACCCTGACTAGGAAGGCCTGGAGTATTGCTCAGAGTCTTGGTTCTGAGGTCCCGATCTGACTCATCATGTTCAAAGAAACAGCTCTTACCAGGTAGGTCGTTTTCCCTCTAGGAAGCTGGAATCTTTCAACTTTTGCGTCCCTCAAGATTGTTCTGAGGATGTTGGCCTTTCTAGTAGAGTTCTGCTTTGTATTTCTGCTTTGGAAGGTTCTGGACCTTCCCGGGAGGTTAGGGTAGGCGAGCTGCTCTGTCCTGGGCTCTGCCCTGGCTTCGCAGCCCTTGTGCCAGTGGCAGATGTTGCCCGTGGCTCTGGAAGCAGGAGTGTGGGCCAGCAGGACGGTGTGGGTAAGTACCCTGCCCTTGGGGGCGTCCCGAGCCGCGGGCCCTGTGCGCAGGGCGACACGCAGGTCCCGGGGCTGGGAAGGGTTACCCGCCTCCCTGGAGGAACTCATGTGCTTTGAGATGCAGAGAGTGAAATCCTGCTCGTATTTTGTAACTTTCTTTGTTCATTGTTTTGCATGATATTTTCAAAACCATAATTTTGGACCTGAATGCCGATTTCCTATGTGTTTAACGAGCTTGCTATATCATAAAGCTTTTAATCTATTTTTAAAAATGCTAAAAGCTTCTTAACTTATATTACAGTTTCACCATCTTTAAAGTATTTTATAACTACTGCTGTCCTTTGATTTGTTTCCATTTTATTTCTATTATCTTGCAGCATCTTTTATCCAAATTCTTCTTTCTTATAAATCTTGTAAGTAGGAACTAGTAGCTTTTCCTTAATTGCGATCATACTTTTCTTTTCTCCATAATCCCATCTTTTATTTGTAAATTCATTCTCATTGTCTCTTGTAGCTTTTGCACTTTTACTTGAAAAAAAAAAAAAAAGATTTTTTTTGTGTGTGTTTTGAATGGGGAGGATTGTTGGCAAAAGCAAATTAATCTGCCTGAATCAGTCCCATCTTTTCTGTACTTTAGTCTGTGATCATGTCATGAATTTCAGGACTTTGCACTAACCCATGTTTTTTTTTTTTTTTTTTTTTTTTAACTTAAAGCTTATTTTACAAACCTAGTGTTTGTATGCATTGTGCATGTAGTGTTTTTTTCCCAACTACAGTATTTTGCTGGGTAGCTTATTTAGGACAAAAAAATGGCTCATGGGAAGACGCATAAAGATTTGTGCTTATATACTACTTATGCTCTGAAAATTTATGAAGTACCAGCAGTTACTCTGAGAATTTAAACGCAAAAATTAACTGAGAGAGCTTTTGAAAAAATACCTACCAAAAAAAGAGCAGTCATTGCAACTCAGATATCCAAACGCTCATGGGTCTTTGCATGACTGCGAGTGTGAATCTGATATTCCTGCTTTGAGGTAGAGGACAAGTTCTCTGGTTCTGGCAGATTCTGTTTGGAGCACGTTCACTCTTCTGGTTCTCATCCTGTAAAATTGCTGAGAGCCAGTAGTGGCACGTGAAGCTGTAGCTGCAAAAGGAACCTGCTCTTTGTGCCGCTTCTGGTAATCCAAGAGGGAGATTGCTCTCATCGCCCGAGGAAGCACAGCATCGCCCTTGGGGGGCAGCTGGCGAGAAATGATGCAGGTAGCGAAACGAGCAGCCTCTTGCGTGTTGTGCACGTGATACTGACATGGGAAGAGTTAGAAATCCTCCTAAAATGCCTAAATTTCATTAGTTTGGATTATTTACAGACCCGCTCTGCAGGAAGAGAGCCCAGATCTAGGGAAGCGGCGTGCCGCTGAGGTGCAGGATCTGCTGGTGCCAGGCAGTGCCCGCCTTGCCGGCACCATCCGGCACCATCCAGCTTTTACACTTTCTCTGGCAGTTGCACTGAGCTGTGAAGAGAGGAGGATCAAATCAGAAGAGGGACCTTCAGTAAATTTCTCCTTCTGATATAAGTCCTTAGAATTATTGGATTTCCCTTTTTTCCCTCAGGTGTTTTCTTTTTGCGCAGCAAAGTTGAATGAGAGCAGCTTGGTGTTCAGATTACCAAAAAAGAGATTAGCTGGCCAGCTTTGTAATTAAGCACTTGGAGGTGACAGGGGTAGGATCCAAAAGTTTTGGGGTATTTTAACGTGAGCAAGGAAAGTATTAATATTATTTCTATTTATGTATTTATTTATTAGGAGAAGAGAACTGGACAGTCTTGCACCCTTTCCGGGAAGGATAGGAAGAGAATACTAGAAATTAATGTGCTCTTTGCAACAGAAAGTTGGGATTTGCTTTAGAACTTCAAAGCTAGTTGTTGCCATCCGTGTAGGGAAAAAAAGGCTGGCTACCTCTCCTATAGCTTCTAAACAGAGGCACTGACTCGAACGCAGTGAACTAACAGCTTCATAACTGCTAAATTTGACGTGATCTTTGTGTCCAGGATCCCATGAGCCTGTTTTCCGTGCTGACAAACACCATGAAACGCTGTTTTTCCTTCTCTTCCCAGCTATAGCCACTCAAGCGAGCGTGGAGTTCCGCCGGAAAGGATCCCAAATGTCCACAGACACAGTGGCTTCCAACCCCATGTTCGATGCAAGTGAATTCCCAGACAACTACGAAGCGGGAAGGGCAGAGGCGTGTGGGACACTGTGTAGGATATTTTGTAGCAAGAAGACTGGGGAGGAAATATTGCCAGCTTACTTATCCCGGTACTAACCTCTCTTCCAGTTGCTTCAGTGGTGTGATTCTGTGGGGCAGAGGAATTTGCAGTGGCCCAGGCCTGTGTTGCCAGCTCTGAAAGCCGGGTTAGCTTTAAAGTGCTGCGGGTAGAGCCCCTTGTCTGAGCCTGGTGCCTGGTTGTCCCCTGGTTCCCCTGGGCCCTCTTTTCTGTGGGCTTTAAGCACCGCTCCAAGGGCAGTCCCAGAGGTTGCCTCTCAGCCGGACAACATGCTTCATTTTCTTGGCCTATGTTGGGTTTTTTTTTGGCCACTAAATACTGCTAACATGGAAAAAGATTGGAAGTGTGCAGACTCATCAACACTTAAGCTTTATTAGACTTCTTCCTGTTTTTATTGCCTTTTACCCCAAATCACTATGTTGTCATGCAGTAGCAAATCCCAGAGGCAGAGAATTGAATTTCCAAATCCTGACTCTTTCCTAGTCTCCTGCTTCGGTCACAGATAACCTCCAAATTGCTCAAAGCCATCTTCCTGTTTGGTTTGTGCGTGTTGCCTTACGGCATGCACAGGTAGCCTGTGTTTCTCTTACCTAAACAGTGAATTTCAGCGTTTTTGTAAGGCTTCCTCAAAATTATTAAGGAGTTATTAGTATTCAGTAAAAGGAAGTACAAAAAAAAAAAAATCCCAGCTTCTTTAGGACAATAGCCAGGTAAATTATAAAGTCGTTTAAAAAACAAAACAAACTTTGTTGTTGTCCTTATTATGTCAGTTGACATTTTTCCCTTGCCACCACCATTGCCCCGCTTTGCCAATTGACATTGCTCTGGTGGATGTGTTTGGTCTCGTTTTCCAGATCCTGGAGTCTGTGATGGAGGCTGTTTTCTCTAAATGACTTAACATTATTTCCTTGCGCGCTGGATTGAAGCGGAATCTCGTTTCCCCCTTCTCCGGGGATGGAGGGAGCGGGACCCGGGACGTCTGGGCTGTGTTTGCAGCAGCCTCTGCTCAGCTGGGGTCTTGCACCCAATAAAGATGTCTTGTTTTTCTCTAGCAAGCTAGTTGGATGTGAACGCTGTATTAGAACATTATTATACAGTATTTTAGAATGACTTAGAGGGATGCTCACATAAGTTTTTCCTAGCTCTGGTGTTTGAAACCTATTAAACTTTTTGAAACTCTGGTTTTTGGCTTTATAGGGAAAAGATGAAATAGTTGCTCTGTGTTATTCATGCGGGACGGTGATGCTTTTTATGTGCAAGTAATTTAATCTTATCTTTCTTTGTCAGATTTTACATGCTTTTAATTCAGGGCTTGCAGATCGCAGATTTCGTGTGCCACCCCGTTCTTGCCAGTGTTATCCTGAACTCCCCTCCTCTGTTCTGCTGTGACCTCAAAGGGATTGATGTCGTGGTTCCTTATTTCATTTCGGCTCTTGAAACTATTTTGCCTGACAGGTAAAATGCCATTTCCCTGTGGATCCCATCACGCTGCGGGGAGGTGTTGCTCACCTGGGTCGCTCCCAGGTAGTTTGCACTGGAGGACTTGTGTCCGCTGTGCCCCGTGCTGCGCAGGATCAGCAGGGCCCTTGGTTTCATGATGCCAGGAGAAACATTTCATTTGATTTAATGCAATTATGTTTAAAGCAGTAATAGTGTTCAAAAAAATAAGAGAAATATATATAAATTGTCGTCTGCATATTCATTGCTGGGAGGTAGTATTTGCAATAATAGAGAAAAGGAATAATTTAGCTTAAAAACATTTTAAGTTTACTTATTTCTAAGTATTTTTTTTAATCGGATATTCATTATCATCCGGGAATGCTGTAAATTGATGTAGAGATTTTACACATCAATAATTCAAAAGCAGAGTTTAGATAAGCAGCTTTTCACACCAAAGTGTGTAACTTTACCTTTTAAATTGTACACATTTCTGGAAATTTTGCTAAATAACGGAAGGTGCTTGAGAGTCCTCAGTGCAGGCCTTCTGCTCCATTTATCTGTTGGCACTGTGTTTTATTTTGAAGTTACTAATGAATTGCTATCTCTGGGTTTAGAGTTGAGTCACTGTTTGTTTATTTTGGGTTGGTTTAGTAAGTGGTAGAGTTTGCCAGTGACTACTGAAAAAAAAATATTTGCTAAGCGATTTGTGATCTATATAACAGGCACGTGAGCAAATCCCGTGGGTCTCTGATAACACCAGGGTGTTTTATGAGCAGTGACAAGCAGGCAGTGGCTTGTGGCTGAAACCTCCTGCTTGAAAGAAGCAGGAGGGAATAATTTCATTAGCTTGTTGCTTTTATGTCCAGTACAGAAATCAGGTGATGCAGGTGATGGCTCCTCATTCCTTACCTGTGCTAATCGTTGCAGAGCTGCTGTTGCAGGATGCGATTCAGAAATTTAGAAAGAAATAGCTACACTGTAGACTGTAAATTATTTAAGACCACTGAATTCCTGTATTTAATTTACAGTGAAATAATATTTTTCCAAATTCCTGTAAAAAAAAGTTGATTAACTTTCTGATGCTTTGATTTGCAGAGAACTCTCAAAGTTTAAAATCTATGTAAACCCCACAGAGTTAAGAAGAGCTTCTATTAATATCTTGCTGTCTTTGTTGCCTCTCCCTCATCATTTTGGAACAATAAAGTCTGAGGTAATAATCATATGAGTTTATTTCATGTGCTAACTTATTTATAAGCAGTAGTTTTTTTCCAGGGCACCCTTACCCCACAGTTAGTCCTCATGATCACTGAATAAGTCGGGACAGGATTGATCTTTGTCTGCTGTCAGAAGAAAGTAGAAGCACATTTATGTTGCTTTGTATGCTATGTATGCCTTTGAAGTCCAATTTCTTAAACTGAATAAGGAAGCCGGTGCCTTAGTGTGCTTAGTGTAAGTATGGGACTGAGCTCTGCCTGATGCTGAAACCAGTGTGTTTTTTCTTTTCTTCCTTCAGGTTGTCCTAGAAGGAAAGTTCAGCAATGATGACAGCTCTACATATGATAAGCCAGTAACCTTCCTTTCCTTGAAGCTGCGGCTCGTGAATATACTCATAGGAGCTTTGCAAACTGAAACAGATCCTAACAACACTCAAATGATACTAGGTTATTTCAACTTTCTTTTTATTCGTTGTGTCACAGAAGTGGGTCTTAACTAATCTTGGATGTAAGAATTCAGTCACGTGGGCAGTTAGTTATGTGTTGCTTTGCCAGGAGGTGAAATTCCCAGCAGGTCATCTTCTGTGCAGACCTTTTGTGTAAACCCCTTCACACTATGGGAACACATTTGAAAAGCTTCACACTTTCATTGCAGTAACATTTCTCTCCTCTTTACAAATGAGGAATAAAACTTGAAAAGCAGAGATCAATGTCAAGCACGTTCTAGCAGGAAAAATAAGTGATAGCTAAGAATGGAAATACAAAAATGGTTTTTAATATTGGAGAAAATTGATGACTAGTGGCTTACAGGGAGCACTTCAGTTTCTGGCATGATTGAATTTTGGAAAAAAAGTTAACAAGTTTTGTAACCATCGCTCCAGCATTGGCATCATACAGACAATATTTGTCTGGCACTGTGTGTGCTGTCAGACAAAAGCTTTGGGATAAAGCCTGGAGATGTTGCAGTGCTTTAGCAGCAAACTGTTCCTTGAGGTGATGAATGTACTAACGTTTAATGCTGGGAAGGTGGGTAGAAACTGAAATCTTGGAGAGTGCATTATCTGTTGTTAGGTGTATTTTTGGAGAAATGAAATATGTAGTTGCCTTACCCACCTTTTTATTTCGTATTAGTTTCCCCCTCTTTATGTAGAAGTACCTTTTTCCACATTATGATTTTTTTTCCTCAAAAAAAAAAAAAAAAAAAACCTTCTTCCTTTTGGTTGTTAAAAAAGAAAGACAAAATTGCAGTGAGGGGGCACCTGTGTGATCTGGGAGGCAGATGCAGTGTGTATCTGCTTAATAGGAGAGGGAAAGAAAGGGACACGAGCAATGAAGCGAAGGGAAACCAATGCAGCCTGCAGAGCTTCCTTCCCGTGACTGGGACAGTTCCTTTACTGCCAGAAGAATAATACGGAAAGGGTATAAAAAAATATCCTTTTAAATAATAATATGACAGGAGGGGAAGATGATTTGGAAGGAGGAGGTAGAGCCAGCTGTGGTGTCGAGCAGGGGACGCTTGCTGTTTCAGGGCAGTCCCCCAAGCAAGAGGTGCAGAGTGGCGATGGGTTCCACGCCCGGTCAGGTGTGTCCATGAGCTCCTCCGCCCGTGAGGCGTCCATCCCCAAGCAGGACGATGCTCTGCCCACGGCCCCCGTGGATGGGGATGAGCAGGACACGGCTCTTCTGCTGTGTCGCGTCCCGGTCCCTTTGCCCAGTGGGTCCTGCCTCATATCGTAGGAACGTGAAGTTCTGCATTTTGGCTAATTTTGGGTGCAGTGGCTTTCTGTTTGGGTAGGAAGAGTTTGGAGGTGAATGCAGTTTGTGTGTTCTTGTGAAGATACAGCTCTCTGTGGGAATGGATCACCCACCCATTCAGCTGGTCTTTGGGCAGTGCCAGGCAAGTGTGGCCTCTGCTGCTGGTGCTTTGTCTTGCAGTAGCTGAATGGGCTGGTGATTCCTCACTTCATCGTCCAGCAGGTTGCCAGAGGTTCGTTAAGAGCATCGCTAATTGCCCCTTGGCTCCTCCTGGCCTCCTAGGAGGGGGCACCTCCTTGCACCAGGTGCTGGCCACAGAGGTTAGCCCATAAATCCTTGAGCTGCTCTCAGAGGATGCAGACCTGCCTTAATTATATGACCATCTTAATTCCCAGTGGAATCCATAGAAGTCCCTATACGTAAATTGGAGTTTTGATTTGGAGATGAGAAGGATTCCAAACCCTATCCATAAAACAAAAATCGCACAGAAGTGAGGACTTTAAGACATCTGTGCTCAAAGTGCTCTTGCGGCAGCTGAAGGCAGAATCTCTTATCTCAGTTATCATCTGCACCACATGCCAAAACCTGAAGCAAATTGTGTGGTTTATAAAACTCTAGGCAGATGTCTCGTATGCAAAACCTGCAGTGCTTCTTGGTAAGCTTTAGCCGTGACTATCCTGCTGTTGTCCTGAAGGAGTTATCCTCTTGTGTCCGATTCTTCAGGTGCAATGTTAAATATTGTTCAAGATTCAGCCCTGTTAGAAGCCATTGGCTGTCAGATGGAAACGGTAAGATGTTTTTTGCTTATAAAGTTCTTACTGCTTCAGAAAGAAAACGTGTTGCCTGTTTTAGCTGCTGCTCTAAGATGTTCAGTCACTTACTTTAGATTTGATCTTTCTTATTTTTCCACTTTATTTTTGAGTTCTCTTGGAGAAATCTTACAATTGCTTAAAAGTGACTTTCAATTTGCAGAATGGTGGCGAAAATAACCTGTTTAAAAGCCACAGTCGTACTAACAGCGGCATCAGCACCGCGAGCGGGGGCAGCACGGAGCCCAGCACGCCGGACAGCGAGCGCCCGGCGCAAGCCCTGCTAAGGGATTATGGTAAGGAGCTGCCTGCGTCTCAAACTGCCACCACGAGCTCTCAGGTTGCCTCCAAACCTGTGCAGGTTTTGGCTGGTACGGCAGTGTCCCCAGGTGGGGAACCCCAGGGTTTAGTGCGGGATTGAACTCGTGTGTGCCATTAGATTGCTTCATTTTTAATCCTGCTAAGAGACGTTCCTGGTACTGTTTTTAAAAGCAAGAAAAGCCTCAAAGCTCCTGGGGAGGCATTAGCAAAGTGCTTGACATGGTCTGTCTTGGAGATGTTTGGTTTTTGTGAACAGCGCTGGGAGAAGCGTGAATTCCCTGCTGCTCCCGTTTGGGCAGCGTTCCGAAGGCTTGCCTGGCTTTGGTGGCTCCTTTTCCTGACTGGGTTTAGAAAGAATTTGGGCCAATTCCTTTCCCTCTTTCCTTTCCCTCTTTCCTTTCCCTCTTTCCTTTCCCTCTTTCCTTTCCCTCTTTCCTTTCCCTCTTTCCTTTCCCTCTTTCC